CAGAACATAGGACAAACAAAAGAAGGCTCCCTTTTCTATAAAAATTTATCCTCCCCTACCCCTTCCCCCCAAAAAGGAACTGAATTTTTCAGCTGCACATGGAGATTTGGTGCTCACTGTTGCAGGGAAACAGTTGCTGTCTGAACAGGCAGGAAACAGTTTTCTTTTTAATTGTCCGAAATCATTCGGAAGTCTTCATGCCCTGCTTCTATACAGCAGATGCTGTGCATTAATTGGCCTGCGTAGAAGTGACCCAGGGTTCCTTGCATCGGGCCCAATTTTAGGCAGAGGGTTTAAGTGGCTTATTTATTATTTTGTATAATCTGGCGTACGTTATGTGCTTCTGCGCGTGTCGTGTTCATGGTCTGCAGTTTCAATGTCATGTGTGGTTTCAAAACCGGTGTTTCTCTGGTAATGTACTGGCAGCAGGTAGCTCAGAGTAATACCATCCATTCAGGAGCTCATTTTTATTCCGAATACTTCAATGACTGAATGAACGCTGTACCTTTTATGAATGTTTAGCCACAGTAGAAAGCCAATATCCTGCCACTGCACAGTTCCTCTGCATTCTTTACACTGCTGAGATGTCTTCGAAGGGGATAAACTCGACACCATTGTTCCTTTGCCTATATTTAAGTGATACCACCTTCACAATAAACCCTGGGTTTGGATGACAAAAAAAAGTAAGGGCCGTCTTAAAGGAAACTCGGACTCCCATATGATTTTCTTGATATCAGAAATATGCTCTGCACACTCTTAATAGGGAACCTTGTTTTTTCCTCCCCGTCTGTTGCCAAACAAGGACCTCAGCCCCATAGAAGGCCCCTTGTGTGGGAATAGACACAGCTGTTACTGTAATTTCTCATCCCAGTCACTGTATCACCCCCCATTTGTGGCTCTGAAGGATGAAATTGAGAAATGGAGTTACTGTTGCAGTCATCCTTTATCGTCTCCAATTTTTAGGCCCTTGCCATCAGTTTCATGCGTTTATTCACAAATCAATTACATTAGGGCTACACCACTTTCTGATTGAGTTATCTGCCCTCGAGCGCAGCTTCAAGGCTCGACTTTTGGGGCTTTCTTCTATGTTTGGCAGAGATGCACCCTTTCCCTTCATGCACTTTCTTTGAGCGTTCTTAGGGGCAATGGCAGTTTGCAGTTTGAATGATACATGTTGCCAAATGTGTCCCAGTCAGAGTGTTTTCTGAGATGGGGCATGTGCAGAAGAAGGTTCTGTGTCTTTAATCTTTGTGGAAGGAGTGAAGAGGACTTGGTAGAAGGAGATTGGGGGCTTTAATCAGAAACAAGATGTGGCTTAAATCATTAGCACAACAAAGCATACTATAAGCTTCAAGATAAAACTCTAGGGAAAGAGTCCTGAAAATAAATGGAACTTGATAGATTTCCATATCATTTATAACTTCCCTTAATTACACTTGGAAGACTTGCCAGCAACACTGGAAAATTGGCAGCCTCTATCCATTAGAGTCATTTTGCCGACCATGGCAAGCAGCTGGCTTCACTAGATTTTATTTCCCATCACTCACAATTAATCATCAGCTGGAGATGTCTGAAACTCTTCAGCACAGAGCAATGCTGGGTGACATCAGGCCCCCTAAACATGGCGAAAATCTGCTGAGTAAATGGCCGAGTTTCTTCTCAAGCTTACTCATTTGGGGCCACGCTGGCTCCTGCTTAATGAGTGCTGCTCTGAGAATCGGATGCGAATGTGAACCTTGACCCCATGTCAGAGGAGAGATGCAATAAGCGGATGAAAGATACAGGATTCAGGCCTCCAAACTTTTCACCAATTAGGGAAACAGGAAATACATCAGGCTGGACTAAGTTCATCAGAAAGACTTACGAGCTTTGTGACCATTTAGTAAGCCCAACATTGGAGACATCCTGCACAATCATTAAGTCTATCAGATGATTCACAGAAGTGTTAGAGAAGTGTGTGCACACACATGCTGGCATGATGGGCCCTGCCTTGGGCACTGTCCATGGCGACAGCGCTCAGAAACCTGCTCCATGAGTCCAGTATGCCTGGCTCCTCAAATCCCCGGGCAGTCAGAAGGTGCTACTCCATGGCTCCTGCCACCCTAGCACCTAGGGTGTGTGTGTGTTCCAGGCACAGCCAGGTAGGCAGCCAATGTGAAGACTGACGACACCTCTTGGTGGGCCCTGTAGTGCACCCTCCAGTGACAGCCACTCCCACAGACTGAGCCATGTATGGTTTGCATTTTCCACCACAGTCTGTGCAACATATGTGAACTTGTCTGTGTTTTGCTTCTCAACATGATTTTGAGTGAGTTTGTGTGCGTGTGTGCGTGTATACAACAGGATCTTCTTGGACAAAAATGTATCACTGTCTTGTGGGTATCAAGAACCATTTCTAAGAGCTTCCTTTAGGAATTGAGTGAGAAAAAAAGCCTACAAAACAGATTGCTCCAAGTGAAAAGGAGAGGAGAAGTGGAAGACTCAGGTTTCACATCCAGTGAAATAACGTGGTAGATGTAGTGAGAGGAACTGCGGGGAAATAAGGAGAAGGCAGGTGGAGTGCTGAAATCGAATTCTGCAAGTTAGGGCAGGGCTAAGGGTCCTGCAGATGTGTGTGGGGGGTTCCCTTCTTATCAGGATGCACTTCCTTTGATGTCCTTTCATAAAATTACCAGAGTGTCACAATCAGAGGGAGGATTATTTCCTGCCTGCCTTTGAAGAGGGGACTTCTCACTTCTGTCTTGGGCTAAATCAGAGGTTTGGTTTATCTGATTAACAGTTTGGGATCTACCACTTTCAGTCACCTATAGCTTACCTCTTTGCAGCTTGGCTCATGTTACAAGCACTCAAAGCCAGCCAGAGAGGATGGTCAGTGCCCCTTAATCTCATTGTCCACCTCCTGCTGCCCCCAGGCTCCAGTAGGGCCTGGAGGGGTGCTGTGGCCTGGCCCAGTTGTCCTTTAGTGTGTTTTGATGGCACCATTGTCAGGCTGGCCTTTGCCCCTTGGCATGACCATGGGGACATCCAGATTTTGTTTCTTTTTATGTGCATAAGACCTGCATAAGGAAGTGATGGATAGGAGGCAGTGGATAGCAGCAAGGGCACAGCTGCTGGCAGAGGGACAAGGCTGTGCCCACCCATGAGAAGCTGGTGGGGTGTGGGTGAGGAGATAGGGCTACAGCCATCCCAGGGCTTTCCAGTGCCCGTTAAGAGGAAGACAGGCCAGGTGGGGATGTGGGAGGCCAGCTTCCAAGTCCCCATGGTGGGACCAGTCCATCTGTGAAGAGAATGGTGACCAGAGCGCAGAGGTAGATTTTTGGATAGAATTTCCATGGTGTTCTGTTGAGATTCAGATCCACTCCCAAAAGACCACCCTGCCCTCTTGCCTGGGTGCCTAGTTCATGGTTTGGGGTATTTTGAATCTGACTGCTGGACAGGCTTCTGGTTCTGTCTAGGAGGCCTCACAGGGCTTTCTTATGTGTAGCTACGTGGTAGGTGACAATTTGGCAGATCTGAACATCTCCTGGCTTTCTTGGTCCCTGCCTGCCTTTGAAGAGAGAGAAAAGGCCATACGAGGGAGTGACAGTTTCAACATATTGGACCAGGGCCCCCTCGTCATCATCTCCTGTCCCCTTGCATTTTGAAGAACAGCCCTTGCAAGTTGCTGGTTCACTGTGCATACCAGGTGAAATGAATCAAAAGCGGCAGTGAGCGTCGGCTTGGAGCCCCACTCATCAGCAGTTCTCTCCCACTTGCCAGCACCGAGGCTTTGGCATCTCCTCTCTTCCTATATTCCTCTGCCAGGAGAACGCAGCCCCCACCTGAACAGCAGAGGATAGAACACTCAGGGCCCAGGCGCACTGCACTGCCAGCAAGACAGCTTGTGTGTCCCAGGGGACCAGGAGGGGGACTTGGAGATCATTTGGGGATGACGGGAAAGAACATTCTCCAGGCACTTCTGTGGCACTTTTGTGATGTGACTGCCCAGGAGCCCGTCCTAGCATGCCAACCAGACCCCACAGAGCCCTTGTCCTGCCATTTCAAAGAGTGGGAGGCCCCTTGCCACAAAGCTAAGAAAAATCTGGCCCAGCTCATCAGTGCTTACCCATCAGGACCAGAGGAAAGTGAGTAATTGGAGTGGCTTTTAGTCACAGCTTATTCCTGGATAGAGGCTGTGCTTCCACCCCCATGGGTTTATACCCAGTTCCACCTAGATTTCTCTCACCATGAGAGGCAAACACTAGAACACACGCCTACGGGAGCTATCAGGTCTCCTCACAGAACATGATACAACTCTAGAAACCACTTCCTGTGTGGGAAGGTATTGTCTAGCAGCTGCCTTGTCAGAATGTGTGCGTCCTGCAGAGGAAGGGATGGTGGTCCTCATAGCCTAACACTAAGCTGTTGTTCCCAGCTCCACGGGACTATAGTCAGAAGTGTGCCATTGTTTTTGTACAGCTTTACTGAGATATGATTTACATATATAGTGCAGTTCATCTCTTTACAGTGTAAATTCAGTGGTTTTAATCTATTCAGAATTATATAACCATCGCCATTAATTTTAGAACATTTTTTATCACCCCAAAAAGAAACCCTTTACCCATCAGCAGTCACTCCCATGTCCCTAAACCAGGCCCCTGTCAATCCTTCTGTCTGTAGAGATTTACCTATTCTGGACATTTCAGGTTAAGTAAGTGGAAACATTCTGGTTTTATAGCATCTGTAAGACTCGGGTCCCCAGAGACAGGCCCACAGGCAGCATCCCTAATTCTCTAGTATCTGGGTGGTTTTCTAAAGAGGACTTGATGATGGAGGGAATTGTCTTTGTCTACTGTCCCCTAAAGATGTACTTGGAATGGGGATGCATTAGAGGTCATTGCTGTTTTGATGAACATTTTAGCATTTTTGACAAAGAATCCTTTAATGGCTTTACTCTTAGGCGTTATTGCAAAAATTAGAATGCTTTTAAAACCTCAATCCAATTTTAATTCATTTTCCAGGTAGCAGAAGGTCAGGAAATTTGTGTGATTGAAGCCATGAAAATGCAGAACAGTATGACAGCAGGGAAAACTGGCAAGGTATGTCCCCAAGCTCCTCCCATCCACGTGGGCCCTGTGATGGAAACAGAACTTCCTCTTTGAGTCATGGTTTGGCTCCAAAAGGGACTACAGAGGTGGTGGTCTCTGGCACCGCTCCCTTCCCTGGGGAGGACAGTAAGACACTGGGGCTCATTCACTCTGCATTGATGTGTCCTTGCCTTGCAGAGAGCAGGCCCTCCAGAAAGGGGGTCTGTGGGGTTACATTCAGGTAGTGAAAGAACAATTGTTCTTCACCTTAGTGTCTTTCAAATTAAAGGGTCTTTAATTTTTAATGTTTACATCTGTCTTGGAGGCAGTTAGTTACCTGAGGCTTACACTTAGGTGACACAGCAGGAAACAGTTTTACAGATTGCAAAAATTAATGTAACTCTTCAAGTTATAGATGGAAGAGCAAAAAAAAAGTCCCATCTACACCTGTGGGGCTTAATGATTCAGGGAGGAGAAAGAAGCATCAGTGCTGAAATTTGTTAAGATTGAAACTTCTCGAGTATCTTTTCCTTGAAGAAAACAGAAATATTGTAAACAATATTCACTGTTCTTCCTGTGTCTAATGAGAGATCACTAATAGGAAAATAGCCTTTTCCAAGGGATGTCTTAGGTTGGAAATGTCTACATAGGGGAGTGAGGGAAGCAGCAAAGGCTGGCTGTGGCCACACAATGGAGACACTGGGTGCAGAGAGATCTGTTGGCTTATAGCATCAGAGACCTGCCTCTGCCTGTCTGGTGGTCTCTCACCCCAAAAGGCAGTTGAGACTCATTCTGAGAGAAAGGCCCAGGGGATGCCCCGCCTACTCCCACAGGGAGAGCAGGGGTCCCTGTGCACACAGGAAGCCTCTAGCTGGCTTCCAGTCTGGAGCAGGTATAGATAGCCACACCATGTCCATGGGGTTTGGCAGAGAATATGCAGTGCTTCAGGAATCCTTTCTGAATTTGAGTACATTTAAAAAAGTAGACAAGAAAATGTGGTTCTCTGTTCATATGAAACTTGTTTAATTTGTTCTTTATTTTTTATTTATTTATTTTTATTCATATGTGCACACAGTGTTTGGGTCATTTCTCCCCCCTTCCCCCACCCCTCCCTTACACCTCCCCCGCCCCTTCCCTCTCCCTCCCTACCCCCTCACTACCAGGCAGAAACTATTTTGCCCTTATCTCTAATTTTGTTGAGGAGAGAGTATAAGCAATAATAGGAAGGAACAAGGGTTTTTGCTGGTTGAGATAAGGATAGCTATACAGGGAGTTGACTCACATTAATTTCCTGTGCGTGTGTGTTGCCTTCTAAGTTAATTCTTCTTGATCTCACCTTTTCTCTAGTTCCTGGTCCCCCTCTCCTATTGCTGTCAGCCACTTTAAAGTATCTGCTTTAGTTTCTCTGCGTTGAGGGCAATAAATGCTATCTAGTTTTTTAGATGTCTTCCCTATCCTCACACCTTCCTTGTGTGCTCTCGCTTTTGTCATGTGCTCATAGTCCAATCCCATTGTTGTATTTGCCCTTGATCTAATGTCCACATATGAGGGAGAACATACGATTTTTGGTCTTTTGGGCCAGGCTAACCTCACTCAGAATGATGTTCTCCAATTCCATCCATTTACCAGCGAATGATAACATTTCGTTCTTCTTCATGGCTGCATAAAATTCCATTGTGTATAGATACCACATTTTCTTAATCCATTCGTCAGTGGTGGGGCATCTTGGCTGTTTCCATAACTTGGCTATTGTGAGTAGTGCTGCAGTAAACATGGGTGAGCAGGTGCCTCTGGAGTAATAATTTGTTCTTTATGATTATTTAACATTTACATTGCAGTATGCCACAAAATGTCCATCCATGATAAGGGCTTAGACTAGATGTGGGGGACCAAGTATGAGTGTCAGGTTCTGGCTAAGGGCCCCATGTGGCTGGGCTAAGACACGGGTGTAATGAGCTAGGAGCCTCATCAGCTGGGGCGTCTTGTGGACCGGTGGTGTGCTGCGTCTCTCATAGGAGAGGCAGAGCTGCTTCCTCAGCCTCAGCAGCCCAGAGCCGTTTCTAGAGTTGCAGCTAGGTACCAGTGAGTTCTGTGCTTACCCCAACCCTGCTGGCTGGACTCTATCCTGTCCCCTCCCCACACTCCATCCCCAGGCTTCTTGGGTCCAATCCAATAGGACATAGCAGGAATGGCCTTAGCCAAGTTTGGGGCTGGCAGTTCTTACCTGTGAGGGTCGTTTTTCTCCTAGAGAAATGGTTTACAATGGAAACAGATCTTATCTAGTCATTGTACCATCAAGAAAAACATCATATATAACTGTCAGAGTTATCGAGACCATAAAGTGGCAGCTGTTTCACTCCAAAAGCATCTAAGTAAAGCTGAAGTATCCACTGCATAGGTTCACATTGTTCTTAAAAACTGGGGTTCATCTAGGCCACTCACCATGGAGGGGCAGGACACAGGCATTTTTGGTGTTTGTCTATTGCCTATCACCCATTTTGGTGTTTGCCTAGGCCAGTTAGAGCCTACTGTTCTCTACTGTGCCCCAAGTAACCACCTCCAAGGAGGCAGATGGCCGGCTCTTAACATGCTCCACCCCCTCTCTGCTCATTTTAATTTTGCACATTTGGCAAACAAAAGTTGATTATATTCGGAGGAAATCGGTAGAATGAGAAAGCACAGCTCCACATACCATAATCCATATCATGGAACCAAGGACAAATCATAGAGCCATGTGGCTCTTGAATATGTCAGTTCCCTTTAAAAGGAGGGCAATGAGCAGGCTAGGGAGTTTCTCCTTTTAATTCCTGTTTGGACTTTGTATAATTTTGTTTTTATATGAAATTAAATACACAATTAACTCTTAGAACATTTCTATAATCCCGAACCATAGAAGAGTAGGGAGCTGTGTGTGTGGAAGACACTAACACATCAGGTCTTAAGATAGTCCCTGGCACTGGGTGCCCAGTGCCAGTCAGCAAACTATAGCTGAAATTCTCAGTTTCCTTGTGCTGGCAAGGACAGAAGAGACAGGAGGGGGAGCGGGTAAGGCACAGGCTACTACATGGACTTGAGTTCCCAAGCCTGAGACCATTTGTGTCCTGACATGGATTAGACCACTCCCTCCTGATTCCAGTTACTGATTCTCATTTTCCTCCCCCATTTCTTAAACTCAAGGTGAAGTCGGTGCACTGCAAAGCTGGAGACACAGTTGGAGAAGGGGACCTGCTCGTGGAGCTGGAGTGAAGAAGTATTTATAGCCTTTCATCACCCACTCTAATTAGCCATTTGTACTATTCTCTTACTCAATTTGTTCAGGCATTTTACAGGAACACTCCTGTGCAGCAGGTTCTACATCGTCTTTATTCCTCAGAAGAGGCAAAAGCAACATTCTGCCAAAAAAATCACCAATGGAAATTTTTATTGATATAAATACTTGTACATATGATTTGTACTTCTGCTGTGAGATTTCCTAGTGTCAAAATTAAATCAATAAAACCAGCATTTGTCTAAATATTAGTTTGCTCTTTTTTTCCGAATGAAGACAATGTACACATGGGCAACAGGCTGTGCCAATTGACTAAATACTCATTTCTTTGTGATCCTTTAAAAATTTACATGAATTCTGGTTCTCTGCTGTTAATTTTAGTAAATTAACATTTGGGGTTTCACAGTCTGATTACCTTTCCATGACTAAGAGCTAACACCTGGGGCTGATTATCCAGACTTCCCAACAACCAGGTAGCACAGACCACAGTCCTCAAAACCCCTCCCCCGTGGGCATCTGCATGGGTGTCACACTGGATGGCTGAGGTTACTCTGGGACTTACTGACTGACCCAGGGTGCTACCCACCCTGTTCTAAAAACACTCATGTTGCCTGGGTTCCTTCCCCATTGCCACAGGCAGGGGCGCTCCTGAGTGTGTGGGCTGGCTCACCCACTAGCCCATCAGCTGATACCCATCCTCGCCTTTCTCTGTTTTATGAAGCAAGTTTTTTATTAAGAAAAACAGGCTAAAAATACTGATGGTGTTTTTGTGCCAGATGCAACTAGCGACCACAGTCTGCCATTAAATTGCAGAGTAAACTCCTCTCCGGGAGAGTGAGTTACTAAGGACCAGCAGCTGCACTTTCACTTGCTTCTGAGATTGTTGGAATCCACTTTCTATTTTGCTGGATAGCAGAGCAGAGCTGTGCGCTGACTCTGCACTGACAGAACATCAGATGGAGCTGGGTAGCAATTGGTACTTCATGCCTTGCTAGCATTATTTTAAGTGCTGTTTGTATTTGGAGGCTAAGCCTTCTGTCAGGGCCTGAGGAGCAAATTACTCATGTGTTGGTTCTCTTCTGAAAGGCCTGCCCCACCCCTCCCAGGCCGCCCAGGGCTGTGCCTTCAGGAGGCAAGGCTGGGCAGGGCTGGGCACTGACTGCCCAGCACGGATCAGCACATACATGAAGTCTGGCAGCTCAGCTGTGTCTTCCAGCAAGTGGGTGGTTGTGATTTTGCTAGATTAGAATGAAAAGAACCTTCTATCAAATAAATATACCAAAAGCAGGGCCAAACACAGCATCAGCACACTTACATTTTTCTCTCAAAATACCTAGTTTAATTTTAAATAAGCATCTTCATAGTTTGTGTGATCTGAAAATTGTGAAGAATGATGCTGATGTACTCTAGCACAGCGTGGTTTTTGTGAGGATCTGTTTTCATATTGAGCCATTCTAAATCAACTTTTAGTGCCATTTTTTTCTAGGTGTCACTGAAACCCAACTGCAGTACAGTCTTTGCAGTCATTGAAAATATCATCTTCAGATTAAAGCAAAACAAAAAGCAGCAGAAAGGTATGATAACATATGCTATTTAGTGGAAATCTGAAGTTTTTCTCACCCTGTACCTTCAAGCCTGTGGTGTTCTTTAAGTAGGAAGCAATAAAGCAGCATTAGAGGAAAGATTTGGGGGTACAATCTTGTTATTAGGATGTCCAAATCATTTGCAAAATTGGCACCACTGAGAGTCTTTTTTTTTTTTTCCCCCAGATTGAGTTTTACCAATGTCTGAGAAGGATCCTGGTCTGTTTTAGCTCTCGGGGACAGCCTGAGCCCGGGTGACCAGCACCCACAGGGACTTCCTTAGTCCTCCTTGTCGACAACCAGCCCTTCTCACCTGTTTTCCCGGGGGTTGTAGCGCAGCCCATGTGGCCCCTCTGAGTCATAGCTGTCATGGTAGGGGAGGTGGACCCACTCGGGCGCATATGTGGCTGTGCTATACACGAAGCACTGCACACTGTCCCCAGGGCCACCCCCACCCTCCCACTCAAGCACCCGCACCTGCATGGCAGTGCGCTGGTACATGTCAGGGCAGCCTTCAAAGTCATCCAGGAAGCGCAGCATCTGCTCGTCCACCGTGTAGAATCTCGCCCCCCCCCCCCCCCCCCCCCCCCCCCCCCCCCCCCCCCCCCCCCCCCCCCCCCCCCCCCCCCCGCCCCTCCCCCCCCCCCTCCCCCCCCCCCCCCCCCCCCCCCCCCCCCCCACCCCCCCCCCCCCCCCCACGCAGTGGCCTCGCTACGCAGTGGCCTCTGCCGGGGAGGTGGAGCAGCCCTTGTGGATGTTATCTCCGCTCTGCAAATCCCAGGGGTAGGGCTCTGCCGTGCAGCCCCGACCCCGGAAGGCTGCCCAGCCATTGGTGCCATCCAGCATGACCTTGTGGTTGGGCTGGCCTCGCTTCAGAGTGCCGTACACGAACACATGGGCCATGTGGCTGCAGGGGCTGTAGGGGAGAGCAGGCAGGCATGTCACAAAGCAAGAAGGAGACTGCCAGTCTGCCAGTGATGTGAATTGCCCAGGAAGGGCCAGAGAGAGGGGCCCAGGCTACAGAACCAGTTCTCCTTGATGGCCCTCTCCACTCCTGCTAGCTACAGACAGAGAGAGTGGGACAGTGGCCCAATTGCCCAGGCTGGCCCTGAACTCCCAAGTGATCCTCCCACTTAAGCCTCCTGAGTTCCTGGAACTACAGACAGGTTCCACCACATCTGGCAGTGGCCTTGCATTTTACTCTGTGGCTAAGTGGCTCCCACAGCAATACTCAAAGTGATAGGACACCTGTCTACTTCAGTGGGGAGAGGGGGCATGCCAGCCACTCTGTGTCAGCAGAACTGATTTCTTCCCAGAACTTCTCATATCCAACAGCTGACCAGGGTCACTTAAGAGACCCCCCAAGCATAACCCATGATGTATGACAGCCCCTTAGCACCTCAGTGGAAGCCACAGTGGAGCCAGCAAGAGACAGAGGCTATCTTTTCTTGGATAACCACTAAGTACAAATGGCCTCAGGCCTCATCTGGCAGGTGTCTGTCTCTCTCTTTTCCCTTCCCCGTCCCCCAACCTACTACAGAGGAAGCAGCTTCTAAGGCCTGAGGATGTCTTGGCCAGGCCCCAGCAGTGACTTCCCAAGGCACACCTGCCTGAGCCAACAGCTGCTCCTGTGAGCCCAACTCTTGACTTGCGTGGTGGATGTTGAAGTAGAGGTTCATGGAGATACTGGCTGTTTACTGGGAAGAAGGCCCTTAGTCTAAGAACACAGTTGCTGTCAGATGGGAACAGCCTGGCCTGGGACCAAGCCCTGCAGATTTGCCAATTTCTTAGGCACTTAGTTTTTAATCTTCTTTTTTAAAAGGACTAAGATTTGCACAGCAAATATTTATCATGGTGGGAGGGGAAAGAGGGTGACAGAAGGAGATCAAACTACGTCAGATGCACATATAGTAATATCAGCAAACTCCCCCCTCCCCAAACGTTTGGTGAGTATGCGCTAATAAAATGTAGGGGGAAAAGGAAAGAAAATTAGGACAACAAGCAAATCCATGTAGAAAATAATCCCCTGGAACATGGCGATGGGAGCTAATCCAGGTTTCAGTCCTGCCTTTACATTTCTGGTCCTGGCCTGGACACCCAGCAAAACTTTTTAAGGACAGCACCTGTGTTGACATTTCCTTTCTCGAGGTCTTAGGGTACTGGTGCTTCACAGTGACTCACTGTGACTAGCATCCCAGACTTTGGCTCCATCTGAAGTTAAATATTTGTCACTGGCTTGGGCCACAGAATGGTTCACAAAAGCGACCTGTGTAGGACTGGAGGTATGGCTCAAGTGGTAGAGCATTTGCCTAGTCAGCACAAGGCTCTGTGTTCCATATAGTACCAGTAAAAAAAGTGACCTGGGTAAAAGTGACTCAACAGTGGATGTAACACTGAAAAGGAGAGGGCTTCTCCCCACAGCCCCACCTCTGTTCCCCTGGCCTCTGCCCAGTACTGCCTAGTGCCAGCCTGAGGCCGACCTCTTGGAGAGGGCACTATCAGTGCAGGGACAAGAAACGTGCACTGGGGGCTCAGGTAAAGGAGTCCAAGAAGCATTTTCTTGAAGATGTTACAGCATTTCTTCACTGTCTCCTGGCTTCCCAGGTTCTTGCAGAGAAGTCCAGGTGTGGCTGAGCTCAGCTATGCTCAGAGCTTTTTCTCAGCGGGCTCTTGGGTGTCCCCTTTTGGGTCCCCTCACTCCTTGGATTTTGAAAGGTGGGTTGTTTTTCATTCATGGTGCTGGGATCTGTCTGAAATATGGCAGTGCATTGTGGGGAGATTTCTTCCCTCTTCTCCCTCATCCACCTTCTGGGAGGTGGATGACCGGAGTCGCCCCAGTGCTCTTCTCTCCATTATCTGGGTCTTTCTCTGTTTCTCCTTCATCTCCCAGGTCTCCTGCTAATTGAAAGCAGTCCTCTGCCATCATGTTTATTTCCAGCGTCTTTCTCTCCTTCCATGTTGAACCTTCCTGCTCTTTCAAAGACAAAATACCACTCTTTTTTAAAGTTTCTCTTCTTTATTTCCTCCTTTCTGTGTTTCTTGAAGAGATTTTCTTCAAATGTCCAGTCTTTCATAATGAAAATCAACAGGGAACCTGCAGTATGAGGGAGGCACTGACAGTTGGCTGCCTCTGGTGACAGGTTTGGTTGACTCCAGACAAGCTGTGGGTTTGTGGGGTTTTCTTCAACTCCCATTTTCAGGGTGCCATTCACAGCCACTTCAGATGGGCCTGTGTTCCTAATACCATGGCAAGAAGTTCTTGCCACATTAACCCACCATCCTCTGCTGGGCTGAGGGGAGATGGGGACCTTTCCTGTTTGCAGCCCAGTCTACCTGCACACACCTATGGCCTCCTTGGCTCCTCACTGTATAGGAACTCAGGTCTGGTGTTGCTGGGTGTGAGGTTTCATTACCAGTGACTTCTGTTTTTTGTCTTTCAGGATTTTGTTGCTTGCACTCCTCTTTTGTCTTTGTAAGTTGTTTGAGAAGTATATTAGTCCATTTTGTGTTACTGCACAAAGGACAAAGCAAAGTGTTTCAAGTTCACAGTTATGGAAGTTCAAGAATCCTGAGGTGGTGCTGGCACCATACCGCAAGAAGCAGATAGGGCTGACCGTGGCTGAAGAGGTCAAGCAGAGGGCAGGGACAGAGAGCAGACTTGCTTTTCCTCATGCTGAAATGAGAGAAAGGGGAAGAAAAGGCAGCAACTGCAGAAGGAAGGCCCAATGTGGCACGGGGTGCTGTGTAGACCATGCACCTGGATGTCCTGCACTAAGCACACATGACTGGTGTGACAGTCCCCTGTCTCCTTGAAGTAAAGTGTGAAGGGAGGGAGACAGAGACAGATGGCAACAGCATGTTTCACCAGGTGTGGTAGTGCATGCATGTAATCCCAGTACTTGAGAGGCTGAGGCAGGAGGATCGCAAGTTCAGGCATGCCTGGGCTACATAGTGAGACCTTATCTCAACAAATCAAACCAAACCAAACAACTGCAGAGCAAGGACAGAGTAGGGAACACACTCCTTAAATGGGGTTGACAAGGAGGGGCAGGAAGCTACGAGGGCAGAGAAGCTGCAAGGAGTACTGGGGTTTGAACTTAGGGCCTTTTACTTGCTAGGTAGGCACTCTACTACTTGAGCCATGCCTCCATCCCCTAAACATTTTTTTAAAAAGCAAGTAGTATTTTGGACTTGAACATTATTACATAATACCATGGCCATCTTTATAGGAGACTTTAAACAGTTGTTGGAAATTAGCATTCATGTCAGATCATAGCTAAGATTCTGATTCTAGTGTCAGTTAAACTGTTGCTTTCTGGCTCTGTCCCTTACAAGCTGCAACCCTGGACAAGGTGTTTCACTCCTAGGTGTGCTTTTCCCATCCATGAAATAGGATCAAAGTGGTGTCTGCTTTGTTAGATTGTTGATACTGTATGTAAAGAATTTGGATCTTTAGCTGGCACAGTTCTCAATAAATATAACTAATGATTAAGACTTTATCAAACTGAGAGTTTGAAATTTTGTATAATATTACACCAACATATTTTTTAAAACAGATAAAATCCTTTTAGGAGCCCAAAATATTTAGAACTCATAAGACCATAATCTGTTCATTAGTTCATGCATGCAATTCTGAGTGATGACCATTATGGATGCCAGGAGGGAGAGGTCTTGGCACCAAATGAGAGTTACATTGTGGATTTGTTTCAATGTTACTTAATCAGAAATCAGCATAAGTATGCTAAATAAATACAACTTTTAGGTAGGGATAGGATGTAGCCATATTGATATCTGCTTCCTAAATAATCATAAACATTTATGGAAAAATTTTTAAATGTGATTTATGGGATAACTTACACCATTCCTAAATTTTAGTGGTTTTTGTACATTGATTTTTCTCTATTTTGTTTATCTTTTTTCTAACCTCTTTCTTTTAGTAGAGTGCTGGAGATTGAACCTAGAGCCTTGTTCATGCTAGGCACATACCAGCCCCTTCTCTAATTTTTACTGTTCCTTTCCTTCTGTTAACTTTGGCTTCAGTTTGTTCTTTTTTGAGTTCCTTATCTCTATATACTCTTGTTTCCTGTCAGTCATGTTCAACTCATTTCCAAGGGTTGCTGGTGTCAAAAGGACACATGAAAAAAATGCATTACAGTGTCAGGGGTAACCTGGACAGTGCCCGTGATTCATTCTGGCCAGGACAGTATTGGGACCCCGTTGTGATGCATCAGGCTTCTGAGTCTGGCTGGAGGTGGGGTGGGTGTTACCTTCTGCAGGTCATGCCTTACTATGCCTTTACCCACCACTAGTTCTTTCTGTAACACTGAGCCTTAGCCAGAGACTTGGGTAAAAAATCCAGAAGCTTGTTTATGAAGTAAGGGATAGCTATAGGCAAGCCATTTAGGCTTCTCCAGAGCTAAACAAAGATGGATGTTTGTCATCTTTTGTTTTAATATGTAGTACATGTACCCAGGTAGGCTGGAACCACAACACCAAAAGGGGCAACCTCAGTTGTTTGTAGGTGGACATATACGATGTCCGCAGGCATAAGGAAATGCACGGTGGCATAATATGAAGTCCTACCTCCATATAACTTCTTTGGGAAAATTATTTAAAACTTCAGCATTTCTGTTTTCTTGTTCTTAAAAGGGTTCTTTGTAGTTCCCTAGGAGCTCTAGTGCCTGATGAACGCCAATTCCCTCCTACCCTTAACCCCCCACACCAACTCCATCCTTTATCAATGTCTTGCAAAAACATGTGCTAGCTATATTCTTCTTGACTAAGCCCCTAAAAATTAAAACCACCACACTATCACATAGTGATTGTGTTCTTAATGATTTTTCAGAACCAAGAAGAATGCTTATGTGAAATGGTCATGATTAGGACAGAAACTGTTGACTCTTAAC